CGCCGCAAGCCCCGTAACAGCCGCGGGGGTCCCGGCGTCGCCGTGTGGGCTCCTCGCACGAAGCAAACTCGAGCTTTCCCCAGTATGTATCTTTTGTATGTATCTTTTGTGCTGAGTCTATAGTGTCTAGTTAGGTGACCCTTTCTACTGCAAGAGAAACAGATGTTCTTCTCTATACGCTCACGAGGCTCGCTGAGTTGTGAATTTGCTGGATGATCTATGTTCTAGTGTTTTGTCGTTTGATGGTTTAGGCTAGCATCCACAGCCACCAAATTCATAGGCTGTGTATACGAGTTATTTCTAGAAACCTTTTTCTTTCTTCTCAGCTAGAGATGCAGAAGTGAAGCTTTTTCTCTCTGTGAAGCATGAGCCCACAGAGTTCCACCTTTCACCCCGTAGTTCTCTCACCGCAGCCTAGTGAGCTCTAGCGAGCTCCCCATTTCCTTTCTAGAGAGGACACCCCCGGTACTAACCCTTGCCATAGAAGCTGCAAGTCCACTGCTTGGAGTTTTTGCTCGCCAAGTGCAGTACTTCTCGATGCGGCCGCCACTGTCCTGTCTCCCCTGCTAGTAAAGAGAATACAAATTTCAACTTTTGCTCTTCAGCCGCTTTTGAAGCGTGAAATACTCCCTCAGAGAGGCAAAACAGCTCCTGCAATCCCCCTGCATCGTGGCCCCTTTCATATCTGCGCAGACGGGAGAGGTGAAGCCGATCCCGAATCTTTCTTCGTTTGCTGTGAAGACATTTCCCCCTGGGTGAGGTGCTACTGGAATGAGGCACCGTGTTGTTTCTCGTCTCCTCACCGGAGGGTAGAGGCTGATCGAGATTATTGAGAATGAAAAGGGAGAAAGCGGACTGAATTTAGAAGAATATATATAGGGCGAATATCACCCAGGTTTGTTTCACAAGGGGCCTTCACTACTAAACCCTGGCATGAACTGTGCCCCCCAGCTGTGGGGTGGGTTTCTCTGGTGGGGGCTGCTGCTCCTAACCTCATCGATGTGGTGCTACCAATGCTAACGAGGGCCCTGCATCCTGCATCCTAGCCAAGAACAATGTGAAGAAATCCGAGATAATATTTTCCCCAGAGCGTCCGGATCCCCTGCAGTCTCCACGCTCCCTGGGCACAGAGACACAAGGGCTGCTCCTATCGAGGAGAAGAGGCGGCCTGCATGCCTCGCTGCATCGCCTGCTGCAAGACAACCCAGCAGGCCAGCAGAGCCGAGCTTCTTCTGCTGCTCGCGCTGAAACTCTACACAGTTGTTATTATTTATTAAACGCCTGTGTCACCCCCATTACTCGGCATGCATGC